ACTACAGTACACCAATAACATAGATATACACTACAGTACACCAATAACATATATATATACTACAGTACACCAATAACATAGATATACACTACAGTACACCAATAATATATATATATACCCAATGAAACAGGAACAATAATGTTTCTCAAATACAAATGAAAATATATTTGTTTCTTAATGAATGACTGATTTTTTAATGTATTAACTGATAACCTTTCTTCTGTTGTTAGGACAGTACATTAATATAACCGTTTACCTGTCTAAAGCTGAAGTAGAAAGTGTATGTATCTACAGTTAATTTTCCTAATGACTCATTCCCTGGTCATTGCTGCGGAAAAAAATCCAAGCAAATGTGTTTTAATTATCTAAAGCCATGAAGCTGGATTAGAATTTTACTTCAAAGAGAGAACGGTTAATCAATGACCTGAATCAAGGAGAGACAAGGTGAGGAGGCCGTGATGGTATCACAGCGTACCACCTTGACCAAGTATTCCTTAGATTGTGATTAGGTTAGTGGATCTTCCAATTGTAGACTTTTACTGGGTCATTTCTATAACGTTATCTTTATTTTAGGATAACTGTATTACGTTCAATTACACATTGGATGACAAAAGGTAGATTTATAACGACGATGGTAGTCCACTACACGACATCAAGGTCACAGCCTCATCTTTGTCTTCTAATGCTTCAAGTATACAACCTTTTAATTCCCAATTATGTTGTCTTTCGTGTTCGTCTCCCCCGTTGAAATGAAAAATGTCAGAGGTCGTCTTTGTGCAACAAAATACTACTGTAAACATATACTGTTAGTGTTAATCGTGTTTTAGTGTTGATATTATTTTAGTGTTAATCATATTTTATCACCTATCTCGCTATAACTTTGGTTAAAAATATACAGTGCTAAATAAGAGGTATATTTTCCGAATGCTCAATTCAAGGGAAGAGATGATGTGCTGAGTTATGAATGGGCTCATATGACTAGCTGTTAGTAATCTAGAGAACAGTATGATTTTGTTAGGAGAACAGTGCCACAATGGTGCCAGGAGGAGGTACGATACTGCGTCCATTACAACCTAGGTGAATCGCTATCATGCCAGGCAGATAATCTCCCAACACAAATAGCACTTCCCTGATGAGGCGGAGACATGCGACGTTCTCCTGCGTTTCCTGCGAGATCAAGGCTTTGACCAGCTTTGTTAAACCTGGCCTGATGGAATTAGTGACAAGATACATCAACACGTACGCCAGTGTAACCGTGAATAGTCCCCGACCTTGAACATGCACTCACGCTCATTTAAAGCTATTTGTGTAGGGTAATTCGGTCAATTATCAAACGCTCTCGTCTTTACTCTTTACGGAAAATAATGCTTGTAAGTCTTGCTGTCAAACTTAATAATACAAAACCAACAAATAACATAACTGTATACCAAGAGAACACGAGAAAAAAATAAGAGAAGATGCGACAGGTTCGTGAGGATGAGATGTTTCTTGACAGCATGAGACAAAATCATCGTGAGAATAACGAAATTGTTATGAGGAAATTGAGTAAGGTATTCGTGTGGAGGATGGAAA